TTAAGATTTTATTTATTTGACAGAGAGAGATCACAAGTGGGCAGAGAGGCAAGCAGAGAGAGAGAGAGAGAGAGAGAGAGGAGGAAGCAGGCTCCCTGCAGAGCAGAGAGCCCGATGTGGGACTCTATCCCAGGACCCCGAGATCATGACCTGAGCTGAAGGCACAGGCTTAACCCACTGAGCCACCCAGGTGCCCCGACTGTGTGCTATTTCATTAGCTGCCATGAGCCTATCCATTTACTGAGGGCATTAATACTTAAAAACAAACCACAACGAAACAAAAAACTAATTCATGTTTTATATACCTCAAGTTTAAATCTGAACTTCAAAAATTCTCAGTAAAAAAGATCTCAAAACTTATGCTATATTTTTTAATCCAGAGTCTTTTTGTAGGTTGAAGTTATTTTTTAAAATCAGCTCCCAACATTTGGGTACAGACGCAGAATGTCTATTTCTAGTAAGGCTTCTTTGAAAGCAAGGGAAGAAAGAGAAGTGAAGCATGAACTTTATTAGTAACTGAATTTTTTTTGCTTACTATGAGCTTTGGTATCTAGATACATGCAAATTCAATAACTTAAAAATCTAAAAATATTACAGTAAGCAGAATGTTGCTGGTCATGACTAAGACCATTTTATATACTTTCCATGTAAAATTTTTATTTGATAATGTTTAATTTATTTATTTTCTCTTCTGTAGCTCTGTGCCTGATTTACTGTTCTAGCAATTTAGAGAAAAGAATGTATTCATTTTTAGAGGCAGAAATTTCTACTGGGTTTCACTTTCAAACTATGTTTTTCAGAAACTTCTTATTTCATGAGACATCTCACACGTTCTTGGTATGCTATAGTGTTTACCCTGATCACCAGGAGAGTTAGGTTGCTCCCAGCTTCTTGCCAGACAGACAATGCACAAAGATATATGATCAAGTATACTCAGATTCCAACTCTCTTGAGTCTTAATCTGTGGCTTTTTATATTATGTTTATATTTCTAATTTTTCCAGTTCTTATCAATAAGAAGTTATAGAAAATATAGAGAACAAACTTTCCCGGATAGTTTTTTATCAAAAGGAAATATGTGTATTATTTGTAATGGTGTTGACCTTATTTTTTAGTTGAATTACTTGAAGAACACAGGAGTCATTGAATTTTTTAGCTACTCCTATTAAATTTTTAAAAAATATTCCAGTAGGCAGATTTGCAGGCAAGATTATATTCTGGGGAGAAATTTGTCTTTGTAATATTAGACAGTAAAGAATAATCTTTAGTTTGGACTTGTATGAATCCTTTACAAAAATATAGACTGACAAGGAATTGAAAAGTGCACACACTCTCTCAGTCCCCCTGAAAAACAGGTGAGCCTTCTTAGCTTTCTTTTCTCAATTGAACAGAGAATTGCAGAGCTGTTTAATTTCACTTTCCCACATTGAAAAAAAAATCTGTTTAAAGGGCTACTTTTGGAACTCTGTGGTACTGAACAGATGAGTCAAGATTTTAGCCAAGGAATTCATACACACAGAAATGCTTGTTAGAAACCGCATGCATGTCCATGGGTACGTACAGCATTTATCACATCCTGACGTACATTACCATTAGGTGTGCAGGTTGTGTTTTTCCCTCTCCATGGGGACTGACTGCCTCAGGGACAGGACAAGGGCATCCTCATCTTTGATTTCCAAGTCCAGAAATCTACCTTAATTCCGTTACTGTGCAATAAATATCTTTTGAATAAAAGAGGGTAAATAAAAACTTAATAGAGAAACACCACTTCCCTAGTAGACATTTGTTTCCTTGCTTTTCAAAATCAAGTCAATTTTTCAACATCTTAACATTTTATAAGTGTACATTAATGGACTTAATTGTATTTTGGTTATTTTGCTATTACAAATCAGTGTTAACCTAACAATTATCTAAACATTATTAACTTGTCCTTTCTAAATGTTTATTGATGTTTGAGTTGGTTATGAATCATTTAAAATGATTTCTTAATTTCCGATTTTCACAGAGGGTTCAATCAATGAATCAAGAATTATAAATATAAGTAGAACTAGGAATAAAGAGACTGAGCCCATTGAGGTTCTTTTTGGCTATGAAACAGAAACTCTTTCTGCCTCCTTACATTTTCTATGAAAGGAGATAGCTATGTGTTGACAGATTGATTCCACCATTTATGTATTCAATACGTCTTTACTAAGTACCTATAATATAAAGCTGCATCTTGTAAAAACTAGGGGTACAAAGAACACAGTGTCTAAAGCACGA